AATTTTTACTGATTGTAAAATTGAAACACCCTGCATTTTTGAAACAAAGTATCTGCGCATCCATGTTGATAGGAACTATTTATCTTAGGGATAGTACTAGAATGTCACGAAGCTTTGGTCGAAGTATCCATTAACAATGTGGTCACCTTAAGATGGATCAAGGTCACGCCACATCAAAAGGTAACCGTCTTGCTGATTCACTAGCCAAGAAAGCAGCCAACCAAATACTTTTTGGACCTGGCCCTTCTATTGGCCTGACAAAATCGGTAGTGACAGACCTAATCAAAGAACATTCCCTTGTCAAATTTAAGAGTATAATTAAGCCAAATTAATCCCATATTATAATTAGTCGAGTAAAATTTTTAAATTGTAGTTTTTATGCGTAAAACTAATTAGTGTTACTAATTCTGAATATCCTTTAGCCAATATTTTCTGGCTGGCTAATATAATCATTAAATTACATTAATTAAAAATATAGTTATTATTTCTTTTATATTTATACTGTTTAGATAGGTATTTAATTATTGTGAGATTAATTTTTGTATACTAAGGTTATGTAATTATGAATAACAAGGTTATTATTACTCTTTGATCCAAGTTTATTTAATATAAGTTGTCACAGCTATTACCTATATGGTTAGTAGTAATAATACATAAATGTACCTGTATATCGTATTTTATTTATATAAATTTAAAAATGAGCACGATAAAAGAGAAATTAAAATGTTCAATTCAATATCCAAGATACTGTCGACATCCAACTGCTTTACACTTTTAGGGATTACATCTTAGAACATGGATAATTTTATGTTTATTTTATATTTTTCAATTTCTAATACCTATATAATAATGATTTTGTTATCACTTTAATTATTACATCTCTTACTTTAATATAAAAGTTACATTTTGCTATATTTTTCTCCAGATTTGATAAAAAACCGACAACACCGTAATACCAATGACTAAGCGTATAGCAAAGCTTGAAACTTTATTCAAGTATTATTCAAATAGCATTCAAGTAGTCTTCAAATGGTATTGAGATAAAAATTGTGAATTTAATATAGCGTAGATCTCAAATCGAAATCCGAAAGGTCAGAATTATCTGAAATAATCTGTAGAATAATTTGAAAATTCGGAAACAAATTTTAATAATCCCCCTACGAATTATTAAGACCATCCCAGAACTCCAAAGGTGAAAAAACATACTTAGGGATTTGAAAAAAGCCTGTCAGCGTCAGGATTCGAACCCAGACATCTTTGTTCTGTACACAAATGCCTTTACCGCTAGACCATGACGAGATTCCTAGAAGGCAATTTGATGTACTAATTCGGATCAAGCGCCATTTCAGGAAATTTCAAATTATTCCAAAAGTTATTTCAGATAATTCTGACCTTTCGGATTTCGATTTGCAATCTAGGATATATTAAATTCACAAATTTTTTATAATCGGGTTTACTTCGCTTAACGTACATTGAAAACTTAGAAGATTTGAGAACAAGCCTGAAATGGCGCTTGGCCCGAATTAGCATATTAAATTCCCGTCTATGAATCTCGACAGTCGATGTCATCATGGTCTAGCGATAAGGGCATTTGTGTACAGAACAAATATGTCTGGATTCGAATCGAAGCGGCAACAGGTTTTTTCCAAGTATGTGTTTTCACCTTTGGGGTTCGGGGATGGTCTTAATAATTGGTAGGAGGATTTTTGAGATGTTTTCGAATTTTCAAATTATTTTATTATTATACAGTATGCGCCCTAAGTTGGAATCATATGGAAAACTTTTTTAATATTAATTTTAGGAAAAAAAGTTATTCTTCATAAAAAGTTCTGCATTATCTAAAACCTAGAATACAGTCATCAAATATCAAATTTTTTCAGTGATATACGAGGTTTGTCAAAAAATATGAGTTTTACTCAAGAGTAAAGTACCTTTATTCTTTATACGACTGATAAAATTTGATGATGGTTGTATTTTAGGTTTTAGACCATGCTCGACTTTTTATAAAGAATAACTGTTTTCCCAATATTAATAATGAAAAAGATTTTCATATGCCGCCAATTTACGTAGACAGGTTGGTGGCATAGGAAAGCTTTTTTATTACTAATTTTAGGAAAAAAAAGTTGTTCTTTATAAAAAGTCGAGCATGGTCTAAAACCTAAAATACAATCATCAAATATCAAATTTTATCAGTCGAATAAAGAATAAAGGTACTTTACTCTTGAGAAAAACTCATATTTTTTTGACAAACCTCGTATACCACTGAAAAAATTTGATATTTGATGACTGCATTCTAGGTTTTAGATAATGCAGAACTTTTTATGAAGAATAACTTTTTTTCCTAAAATTAATAATAAAAAAGTTTTCCATTTGATTCCAACTTAGGGGGACATACTGTATATATTAAGATAGTATTCAGATTTTATTTAGATAGTATTCAGATATTATTCAGATATTATTAAGATATTATTCAGATATTATTCAGATATTATTCAGATATTATTCAGATATTATTCAGATATTATTCAGATATTATTCAGATATTATTCAAATATTATTCAGATATTATTCAGATATTATTCAGATATTATTCAGATATTATTCAGATATTATTCAGATATTATTCAGATATTATTCAGATATTATTCAGATATTATTCAGATATTATTCAGATATTATTCAGATATTATTCAGATATTATTCAGATATTATTCAGATATTATTCAGATATTATTCAGATATTATTCAGATATTATTCAGATATTATTCAGATATTATTCAGATATTATTCAGATATTATTCAGATATTATTCAGATATTATTCAGATATTATTCAGATATTATTCAGATATTATTCAGATATTATTCAGATATTATTCAGATATTATTCAGATATTATTCAGATATTATTCAGATATTATTCAGATATTATTCAGATATTATTCAGATATTATTCAGATATTATTCAGATATTATTCAGATATTATTCAGATATTATTCAGATATTATTCAGATATTATTCAGATATTATTCAGATATTATTCAGATATTATTCAGATATTATTCAGATATTATTCAGATATTATTCAGATATTATTCAGATATTATTCAGATATTATTCAGATATTATTCAGATATTATTCAGATATTATTCAGATATTATTCAGATATTATTCAGATATTATTCAGATATTATTCAGATATTATTCAGATATTATTCAGATATTATTCAGATATTATTCAGATATTATTCAGATATTATTCATATATTATTCAGATATTATTCAGATATTATTCAGATATTATTCAGATATTATTCAGATATTATTCAGATATTATTCAGATATTATTCAGATATTATTCAGATATTATTCAGATATTATTCAGATATTATTCAGATATTATTCAGATATTATTCAGATATTATTCAGATATTATTCAGATATTATTCAGATATTATTCAGATATTATTCAGATATTATTCAGATATTATTCAGATATTATTCAGATATTATTCAGATATTATTCAGATATTATTCAGATATTATTCAGATATTATTCAGATATTATTCAGATATTATTCAGATATTATTCAGATATTATTCAGATAATATTCAGATAGTATTTAAATAGTATTTAGATATTATTTAGATAATATTTAAAAATTATTTAGATATTTTTCAGATAGTGATTCCTATGATTGAACGTTTATGTTTTCCGTAACGTACATGTTAGGTCGAATTTTAACAGTGACGAAGCAAGTTCGTATGATGGAAAAATGTTAAATTAGAACATAACAGGCGGAAAATAACAGTAATGTGTTGGAAAAAGTTTTCCATCATACGAACTTGCCTCGTTACTGTTAAAACTCGACCTAACATGTACGTTACGGATAACGTAAACGTTCAATCATAGGACCCAAGATTCAGATAGTATTTAGATATTATTCAGATAGTATTTAGATAGTATTTAGATAGTATTTAGATAGTATTTAGATAGTATTTAGATAGTATTTAGATAGTATTTAGATAGTATTTAGATAGTATTTAGATATTATTTAGATAGTATTTAGATAGTATTTAGATAGTATTTAGATAGTATTTAGATAGTATTTAGATAGTATTTAGATATTATTTAGATAGTATTTAGATAGTATTTAGTATTTAGATAGTATTTAGATAGTATTTAGATAGTATTTAGATAGTATTTAGATAGTATTTAGATAGTATTTAGATAGTATTTAGATAGTATTTAGATAGTATTTAGATAGTATTTAGATAGTATTTAGATAGTATTTAGATAGTATTTAGATAGTATTTAGATAGTATTTAGATAGTATTTAGATAGTATTTAGATAGTATTTAGATAGTATTTAGATAGTATTTAGATAGTATTTAGATAGTATTTAGATAGTATTTAGATAGTATTTAGATAGTATTTAGATAGTATTTAGATATTATTTAGATAATATTTTGATATTATTTAGATAGTAATCAGATTGTATTCAAATATTATTCAGATATTGTAATAAAAATTCTAATTACACATTATAATGTAATAAGTAATTGGTTTTCATATTATAGCGGTCATCATGGATTTTATAGAAATGGGGAAAATGAGCTAGTGTTGGGGAATTTTATGAAGTTTGAAACTTTGCCATATGCTTAGTCAATGGCATTACGGTGTTGCCGGTTTAATTTTTTATCCAGATCTGGAGAAAAATCTGGCCTAGTGGAGTATAATTATTAATTATTGAACTAAAATAAAACAGAAGAAATATTTATCGACACGTTTTGCGCTAGTGCCACGGCCCTTTGGCCCCTTTGGACAAGCCGTCACTGCCTGAAAAATAACATTAATATTAATAAAATAAACACTGGTTTAAGTATAAAAGGCCAAAAGTCGTAACTAAGCTAATGATAGCACCTAATGAAACAAACATGTATGTCTTTGGATGTAAATTTTAGAATTTATTTTAATTTTCAGGAGATTTATTGAAGATGCCGCCTGTGCCTCCTCAAAAAGTTGAATTTCCCAAATTTGTTGATTCGTTATGGTGCGTTTACGTTGTTTCTGTACTTGCAGCCTTTAATGCTGAATTTGGTAAGATATTGCTATATAATATTGATATATTCTAATTATTCATCTTTGTTTTTTTATTTAAAATTTTATCTATTGTTTGTTATATTTTATTGATTTATTTATTTACTTATTTTATTTTAATTTATAAAATAATATTCGTAAAAAAGCGTATAAATAGGTATTAGAATCAGGGGTCAGTTTGACACAACTTATATCAAATTTACCTCTCATTCTAAATAGTGTCAGCCACCGAACGATTTCCAGTTGTTCAGGTGAAAACTACAGCATTAGTGCGAGCAGGAAATGAATAATAATATTACAACGCGGTCGGGCCGTGTAAACTGGCAACACTGATATTTTTCGTTTCCTGTTCGACTAATGCTAATTCTTTATAGTTTTTACTTGGACACTAGCAAAGCGTATTGGAAAGCATTCAATAGCAGACACTGTATACCAGTCAACGTCCTATGGGCTTCAGGTTTTATTCCAATAAACATACAAACGTCATATTATAATTTTTATATTTAAATGACCCACACTATTATCGGTGTGAAATTTAAAATTAATATAATTTTTTTTTATTCCAGTTACCTATCCATTAGATTTAATTAAAACACGATTACAAATTCAGGGAGAACAATCCAAAAATGGGAAACTCGGACAGGTAATAGCTATTCATGCTACTAAATGCCTTATTTTATGTAACGAGTGAATATTTGCGGGACGGTTAGAGCGAGGTTCCGCAACATGAACGAGTTGCATAAAATGGCATTTTGTAACATATTACATATACTATTTTGACTAGATTATTTATAAAATTGCGTTTTGGCAAAACATTACTGACATCTAGGCAACCAGTATTACTTTCTTGTATTTTTAGTTGCATATGCATCATTTTATTGACAAATAGAACATCATATTATTTATTCATTCTCAACGACCCATAGTGTGTTTATATTGCTTATTAAAGTTATATGGTTTTCAAAAAGTGATTAAGAATGGAAAATAAGGACCAAAACAACATTATTACTAGTTTGTAAGTTTAACCAAATTCTATTTCTATAAGTTAACCTGCTTTTCTTTGATATAAACTATCAATAAGAATGTATAATAGTATATTCATTATAAAATCTAAATAAGGTTTATTTGGATTTGTTTGTTTTCGCAAATGGTGATATAATGAATGTTCGTAACCAGTTTCATAATGTTCAACATTATGCAACTGGTTGCGTAAAGTAGATCATTACAAAAAATTTCCCTTTATATGTCAAAATTAGAAAAACTTTTTTTGGAAAATTTTCATTATTTTCAAACGAAAATGTATCAATGAAATTTGGGAATTATTGCTATTGTAACTAAAGCTGTATAATTTCCAATTATATCATTTTAAATATATCGTATGTATAAATCAAGAATTATGAATAACGTATGTAACAAAAGTTTTAGCAAAAATTGCCTCCTTATTGCAATTACTTTTAAATCTATTATGTGGAAATCGTCTTATATATTTTGTGGAAATTTTTATAGAACAACATATAGTATAGAACAAAAGCTATATGTTTTTCCACGACAATTTCTGCAGAATACATAAGACGATTTCAACATAATTTATTTAATCTAAGGAGGCAATTTTTGGCCAAAACTTTTGTTACATACATTATTTATACTTTCTAGGCTCTATTAGAAATGCTTTATAAACGACAACAATTCCATAATTATACAGTTTTTTCTAACTTGCTTATTGTGGGTTTTAGTATACAGGGTGATGCATTAAGGATGGAAACCGGTTATGTACAGTGTTATTTTTTATGTTATATTAGAAAATTATGATCATTATATTTCAATTTCTGATAAATATCGCATTCCTAATGCATCAAAAAATTATTTTTCGTAAGATACTTTACATTATCAACATTAACATGTTTATTTCTTTTGGTTACCTAGGAAAACAATTTTTATTTGAAGACTGTTCAGTTTACCTACTTTTGCGTTTTTATAAGAACTCTTGAAAACTATTATTCTTATCATTTAAACCACTAGTATTATAGGTCGTTAAACTCAGGAGATCGAGGAGAATTCAAAAATATAAAAAAAATTAAATATACCTAAATTATAGAATAAGGATAATTTCCTGACCGTAGCAGATTTTTATATAAATAAAAATTTCCTTGGTTTAATTTAAAACAAAAAAAAATTAAATTTTGTCTGCACCCGAAGATGCAAAAAAATAAATTTCCGAAACATATGTAGTGCTGTGCTAAACGATTGAAAATGAAAACAATGACCCATTAAACCTAGGAAATTTTTATTTATACTAAATTATAGACTTGTAACCCCTCCTGGGCGACCTGCATTCTTCTGCTATCTTTTTTCTCCTATAAATGAGAATTGTGCTCCGGTATCCATTACCTAAAGCTGTTAGTTTTTCAATTTTTGAACTTAAGTGTGACGTGCGGTCGTATGTCTGTTGGCTTGTGGTTGTAGCAGGTTGTTAAGGAGGTCACTATTCGACGACTGGGTTGCCTCCCCTGGACCCAGTCGGCCTCTGGTTTTCCGACTGTATTCGGCATGTGCAGTTCTTTGATAGTATGCCTAGTGTCCCACAGTGGCTGCAGAAGAGAACGGGACTAGATCTACAATTCATTCGGTTGTGTCCTCTCCTGCCGCACTTCCAGCAACATGTTTTTCTGTCAAAATTTTCTATTTTATTTGCGTAGATGTTTATGGGGTTTATTTGTCGTCTGTTAGAGCATCTATGTGTATCGTCCTTAAGCATACTGCTTTTGATTTCATTGTATTCCTCGACCTGTTTGATAAGTTCTCGGACTGACGAGACGTCTCGTCTTTTTATGTATAACTTGTATTCTGGTCTCATATTGGTACATATCCTGTCCAGTTCTTCTTGGAAGTCGAAATTGTTGTGGCTCCGGATGAGTGTTTGTATTTCTATGACGTAGTCTTGTATTTTCTCTGAATTTTTTTGTATACGGTTCAGGATTTGACTTTCCAGCAGTTGTGTGTTTTCCGATGTTGCGAAGAAATTTGTGAAATATTTTTTGAAATCGTCCCAGGTATCCCAGTATCTGTTATTGTTCCGGTACCATAGACTTGCTTTGCCTTTCAACGTTTTGGGAAGTGCTTGTATCAGTTGGCTGTCCTGTATCTCGTACGCCGTTTGGAGTTCTTTTATCCGTTCCAGAAAGTCTATTGGATCTCTGGACCCGTCAAAATAGAGTCCCCATTTTCTGATTATCTCCATCTGTTTGCATTTATCGTTGTTGATGTTCGTGTTTGTAGACGTATCATTAGTGGAGTTTTCTGGGTCCCTTGTCTCTGTAGTTCTGGTTATGTTTACTAGTCTTGTTCTTAGTTATTCCACCGTTCCTTCTGTAGAAGCTTTCCGATCGCTTAGATATGTTATTAATTCTTCTTTTTTTAGTGTGTAGATTCACCCTACTTTTGTGGAGCTCTCTTCGTCTCCTGGCATTTTTGCTTACTGTTATTGGGCGCACCCTGTATCTGTACTTGTTAGCTTCTTGTGTGCGTGCAGCGGACTGTTTTAATTTCCTTTGTTATTCCTTTAATGCTCGGGCGCCATCTGTAACCCCTCCTGGGGTTTGTTCGGGTAGCAGGTAGATTTTTTTTTGGAAATAAAACATAACAATTTATATACAGATAACATTCTAGCTAAATTTTGAATCGTCGTGTCTTCAAATGTTGTTCCCCAAAATATATTTTGTGCGTCGGTTCGGCGTGACGAATATGTGACAAGGGCTTGGGTTACCTTTACGGTGATGGAAGTCCCTCGAAGTTAATACCTTCGTGAGAGGGATTCACGGGATGGGAAAACCTACAAAGTCAATACCTTTGCAAGCAAGGGTCGGGACGTCGGGAAGCCTACAGGGTCAATACCTCTGCAGGAGCAGGAGAGGAGAGTCTTGTTAAGTCAATACCTTAGTTCGACTGGCGAGAATTTTTTTTTTTGTTTATTATTGACTTTTTCATAAGTGTTTTACATTTTTCTATGACATTTTATTTTCCTATTTCCCTGCTATAGGAGTTATCCTCCTTTTCAGGGTGGTCTGTCCTGATTACAAAAGTAACCTAGCTACTATTTCCTAATGGTGTCGTGTGCGCGTGTCGGACCTGTGTGGCAGGTTATGTCCCACAAAAATATCGCCAATTTTGCTATTTCCAACCCCATAAACGGACAAGTCCAAGTATAGGGTGGGGAATATGATTTAGGAAAACCACAAAACCTAAATCACGACATTGTACATTTATTATGAATTTCTAATTATATGATTGGGAAGGGTTTATCTGATGCTTAGGGGGGCTGATTCCAGCAGATTCTGGAGTTCAGCGGTGAGGAGGAGGTCTTGGGAGTCTGAGAGAAGTCTCAGATTAGGTTGTGGCATTTTTTTTTCGGTTTTCGAAAAAGTGGAAGTTGGTTTGGGCGCCATGGGGTTCTTAGAGTGTCTTGAGAGTGTGTGTTGGTGCCTTTCAGCGTGCGAGAGACGTTTTGTTTCCTGAGGGTTTGGAAACGTGTGAAGATGGGGGTGTTGGAGATGTTTTCGAAAACTTCTCCGCTGGGGGAGCGAGAGGGGAGATATTGGCAACGTCTGAGAATACGTCTCTCGAGTGTGGTAAATTTGTGGGACAAGTGTGTGGGAAGTACGCCGTAGGGTACAGCTCTGTATTCGGCCACGGGTCGGATGAAGGAATTGTAAGTGTGAATAAGGGTGTTTGTGTTGCAACGCCCCATTCGTCCGCACAAAGCCCCAAGGAGACTGGCTCGGTTTCGCATTTTATCAAGAGTGCGTTGAACATCCGAGGACCAGTTAAGTGTACGAGAAAATCGTACCCCCAAATAGTCAACTTCAGTCTGTTGAGCGAGCCTGACTCCCAGGAGATTTACATTTACGAGTTGGGGGTTCTGGGAGGTTCTTTGAGAATTTAGGTGTTTAAAGACGATGAATTGTGTTTTCTGCGGATTTAATGAGACCCTCCATTTGCTACACCAGTAAGAGTACTGGTTTAACAGATTTTGGGTTCGATATTTAGTTGGTTAGAATTTTTGGCTACCGAGATTAGAGCTGTATCGTCGGCGTATAGGATGCATTTGGATGTAGGGTGGTTTGGGGGGGGGGATGTCGTGAGTGTAGAAGAGGTAGAGGAGAGGGGCCTGTGGAACACCCGCGAGTGGGGTGAATGTGTCGGTTAGGGAGTTTCTCACTTTGACGGTGATTTTTCTGTCTGAGAGGTAGGAGTGTATGAGTTTGGAGATTGGAGAATTAAATGCGGAGCTCTTTATATACTTGTCTCTGCTTGGCAAAAACGGCTGCATCCTGAACCATAGGCGTCCCTAGAACGGTGTTACTGGGGAACATCGTTACAGACTTATAACGGAGTTTTTAATATTGTTACTTTTCATCGAGATTAACTTGAAAAAATTATATTTTCTAAATGAAACATTTTTGATTGATTTTATCGCAAGATTTTTTTTCCTGAAATGTCAGAAAAAGGGTTCTCGTAAACATTTTAATAAATCACCCGGATTATTGTACTTGTACTATAATACGATTCCTCCTACTGTAGTATTTCAAGAAAAGTTTTCAACTTTTCTTTTACACTTTTTCTAGACTTAGGCTGACGGAAAAGACA